TGTCCCTCCGGAACCTAGCACTAGACCTGACATCATGACGACTTTGATCAATACTGGAAAGAAAGAACGAGGGAGGGAGGGAAGATGAGGGAGAACATTCCATGTGCTCTGTGCTCCTCTCTTACAGAATCTAATCTTCCTAAGACTCTGATAAACTGGGGATTACCACCCCTCATTTTAAGCAGAAATTGCACTTAGCAAATTGCTTTCTGCCATTTTTGAAGACTTGGGCAAGTTACTTAACTTCTCTGTGCCTCACTTTCCTCATCTGAAAAATGGAGGTGATGATAATAACATCCAGCTCGCAGATTTGTTAAGTGAGTACTCTGTCGGCACGCGATAAATCCTGTCTAAATATTAGCTATTATTATCACATTGAAAAGGGAGCTTTGGGACTCAGAACCCGGTATCTGATTGGAAGAGTTTTTTCCTTCCATGCCGTGTACCTGTACAAACAAATATTTAAGTGGTTCCATCACCACAATCAATGCCTGATATATGAATTAATTTTCAGCTCTCTTTCTTCTCCCCAGTTGAAGCCTGAGCACAGGTCTGATAAACCACAGCTGTCTATGTGGCTCTCAGCCGGATATTTTTGGAGGATGGTGAAAATGAGGCGCACAGCAGAGGAGGGAAAATCACTCTCATAAAAGAGCACCAAAGCAATAAACACAGATGATGGGATTCGTGAGGATGACAACCACCAGAGTCCATGAATATTTGATCAGGTCGGCTTCTGGGAGTGTGGTCTGGAATTTTCAGGCAGGCTGTGGTTCCGGCTTGCAAGTAATATACACGCGGAAATGAAACTGACTCCTGCACCTGGACAGCCCTTCCACCTGAGGTTTCTGCCGTGCCAACTCGAAGCAGGTGGTGCGTCAGCCAAAGAGACCAAGGGCCACCACCCCCTCCTCGAGTGCCCCACATGGCCAGTGGCTCCCCTGGCACTGATCTGAGATGACGCCATTAACAAGGGCCAAAAGCCACTCAGCCTGCTAGGGAGGAGCTGGGGCAGTGTGTGAAGCGACCTCCAAGCTCCAAGCTGTCCTCCAGCCTCTCTCAGGGGCAGGTCTGGGAGCAGCTCAGGTTTCTGGCTGCTGGGGCCTCTCTAAGCAGATCCCGTTACAGGGACACTCAACTGGGAGAGGCCAGCCTTAGGCGCTCTGGATCCTGGGGTGAGAGCCTGGCGATGGGGCCTGCCAGTGTCCACGCCTGCATCCAGGCCTGTTGCTGCTACCTAGAGCTGCCCTTAAGAAGGAGTGCTTGGTTTGAATCCTAGATCTGCCCCTTTCTAGTTCCGGGACTTGAGCAAATCACTTAGCCTCTCTGAGCCTCAGGTTCCTCACCTGTAAGTGTGAGGACGTTAAAATGTGCAGCTCTTGCATTCATTAGGAGACTGGGGATACAAGCCACGCAAAAATGTTTTGCACAGGGCTTGGCCCCCCTTGAGTGTTTAATGGATCTGAGCTCCTTTTATCATTTCTTCCCATTGCTGCTATTCAGAGTGGCTCCTAGGAGACAGAGGCCTGCACTGTATGGGCCAAGGTCATCTCTGTTAGACCAAAATGAGGCACTGAGATAGCTTAGTGTCCAACCGTTTCTTAGGGACTGAGACCGTGGGGCCCACCAGATAAGCAACTTCCCCCAGGTCACCCAGGTAGCTGGTGGCAGAGCTGAGCCTGAATCCAGGCCTTCTGAGTACCCCCCCCCATCCTCTCCTCACTGCACTATCCAGCACACAGAATGTTTGCACATGTATTTTCTCCCATCATGCCAGGCTGCTGCAGGCCCACATCTGAAGCCACATGCAGAACAAAGGGAATCGGGTCCACGCAGCCTCGTCTCATTTGCCTTTGTCCTTTTCTCTCGCCGTGCATTCTGGGAAGCTCCTCTGAGCTCTAGGAAGCCTTGGCAATTAACAGCCTTCTGACAGACTTCTTAATATCCGAAGAAAATCAGCGCAGGCAACCTCTCCCGGATTTCAACATGCCCTTAGAGTTCAGCCCTGAGCCTCAGGAACATCGCTGTTTCTCACTCTCTCCGTTTCAAAGGAGAGCTGGAGAAACATACCTGCCTCTGGCTTCTTTTTGTGAAAGTTAACGCAAATGCTTTGGCACAGGGGCTTTCTCCTCAAAGGAGGAGAGGGCACCGAGCTTGATGCTAAAACATGAAGGTCGCCCAGGTTATTATGCATGTTATTTTTTCCATAAACCTGAACTGAATTGTAGTCCAGACAAAACAATGTTCGCCTAAAAACAAAACCAAACAAAACACCTAAACCTGTAAGCCACAAGATACAGGATGGGGGCAGGGGGAGGGGCGCAGGAGGCACAGGCTTTGACCCCAGCCTGAGTTTGAGCCCCAGCTCTGCCATGCACTGGCCCTGAGACGTCGACCACATCACTGTGCGTCTCTGGACCTCAGTCTTCTTATCTGAAAAATAGGGACAACACTGCCCACCTCCAAGGCTCTCTGTCAGGTGTAAAATGAGACGATGTATGAAAAGTCCCGGACACAGGAGATACACAGTCAATAAAAGCCTTCATGAAGTGTGAGTGTCACCGTGGGGTAATTCCCCGGTGGCCTTTAAAGCAGAATCTCAGGATGGTTCTGCTGCTGGGACAATCCTTGGGAAAAAATCACTGAACCTCATTTTCCAGATGCGGAGACTGGAGTCCAGAGAGGTAAATTAGGAGGGAAGTAAGAAACAAAGCTGGAAATGACACAGAAAGCCTGTTCCAGGGCCAGTACTGCTGACCGAGGGGCCGGAGAGGGACAGACAGCCTGATCAGGATTTTGGGGACTTATTTACAAAGCCACACCCGACAACTTGGACGCCCGTGGCATCAGCCAACTGCACCAGTTTTCAAGGCGGTGGGCGGACGGGCTGATCAGCAGAAGGAGTCTTTCGGTCAGTTTCCTTGCCGTGAAGCGAGCATAACACCGCCACCCCAGGCTCACTGTAAAGACAAATACTGTGTGGCATTTAAGAGCTGCAGACTCATCCGAGAAGCAGGCACTGTGCCCAGGGTTCCCCAAACATAAGCTCATTGGTCCCCTCACCGCCACGGGAGGCAGGACCCATCGTCTCCTCCGGTTTGAGAGACAGAGAAACTGAGTCTCGTGGAGATGAAATACCCGACTCGAGGTCACCCAGCCGCTAAGCGGGAGGAAGAGTGGGGCCTGGACCCCGGTCTGACTGTCAGACTTCCGGTTTCTGTGGGCTTGCTCCTGGTGCTGTTCCCACAAAGAAACAGCCCAAAGTTGTTCAAAGGCGAAAGCCGGTTTGCGTATGCGTGTACAGAAAGATGTCCATGACACAGTGTTAAGGAAAAAAAGCAAGTGGTTCTAAGAGTTGTATATACTAATCCATCTTTCTTTGAAAAATAAAGGTACACACATGTTCAGAGATACTCTAAAAAGATGTTCAGGAGGCTATTAACAGTGATTATTCTAGAGCGACAGTTCTCAGCAGGGGTGATTTTGCCCCCCAGATGCATCTGACAAAGTCTGGAGATGTCTTTGGTTGTCACAGTTTGTCTGGGGGGGGGTGCCACTTACAGAGCCCCAGGATGGTTCTTCTGCTCAGATCTAGTGGGTGGAGGTCAAAGATGCACAGAGCAGCCCTACAACGAAGAATTATCTGGCTCCAAAGGAGAAACCCTGCTGGAGAGATGAGGGCTCTGGAACCTGGGGACGAAGACTTATTTTTAATATCCTGCTTCTCTGATATTTGAATGCGTTACATTAACAGGAAGAGCAGCAACAAACTCTGCCCACTGTCAGCTACGAGATCAGGCATACGAAGCGCCAGCACGGAATAGGTGCTCAAAGGGTGTTCTTTGCACGAGCTTCGGTTTCCGCATCTGTGGAAGTGGGTGTGCTGACGCTGGCTCTCAGGGGGCGGCTGCAAGGCTCATGTAAGACAAAATGTACCAGGTCGAGGGCAACCCACAGCTCAGTGCGCTGTGGTCACTTTTCAGGGACAAGCAGAAGCAGCCCCAGCGACGCTCCGGGTGTGTCTGAGGGCAGGACCAGCAGAGTCGGAGATGAGCAACAGCAGCTTGTGCCACTGTCAGAGGCAAAGCGATGGGGGGCTCCAGGGTGGATCCCTGGAAAAACAGCCCCGTGGGCAGCCTGCCAGAACCCACTGCAGGAACAGAGGACAGAGGCTCGTTCAGCACAGAACAGAGGGCTCCGTGCGGAGGGGGCCCAGCTGGTGACTACGCACGTGCATGAGAGCCCCCACCTGCCCATTTCAGCAAAGCAGGTCCAATAGTTTCGGGAAAAAAAATTTTTTCTTTCCTCCTAACTAGCTGACAATAAAAACCTAATATAAGGATACTTACCACTGATTCTTATATAAATATTTCATACATATGTTTTCCTACCTCATGCTCATAGCACCCAAGAACATAGCAACCATGATTTTACAGGTGGAGAAACAGAGGTGAGAGTCCCACAGTTCAAGGTCAGTCATTCAGGCCCCGGTGGTCTGACTGAGGCTGACTCTGAGTCACTGTCCTGCCTGCGGGGGCAGCTGCCCCATATCCCTTCTGTTACTGGTTACTCTTCTGCTGAAGATCAAGTGTCTCCACCCACCTTCCAGACCAGGGACACTTCTGAAAGATACACCCTGAGTTTGAATAGCCACATCCTTGTCTGAGACACAAGACATAGGAGCCCCATTGCTAAAAATCAACTTAGCATCCTGTGGCACTGAAGCTGACTTTGCTGGGTCCCTGTGAGACAAGGCTGCCAGGTGACACACAGGACACCCTGCTAACTGTCCCATGCAAAGAGTCCTGGGCTTAAACTATACAATTATTTGTTGTTTCTCTAAAATTCAAATTTAATCAGGTATCTAATGTTTTTGTTTGCCAAAATCGAGAACTCCACCGTCGGAGCGAGGAGATTAACTGTTCCCTCTGTCCCAGGGAACCAGTCTCATCCGAGAAAGAGTCTGCATTTGTTTTTCACAAGAGCTCTTACTCACTTACCAAGGATGCTTGGAGTCTGGGGGAGGCTGAGGGGGTCCCTGCCCCTGACAGTTCCTCAGGCTGGTTGGAGGGACTTTTCTGGAAGCTGTCTGGAGCAGGCACATGGAGGAGAAGGGGTTGAGAGCAGAAGGCAGAAACTACCGGAGGATAAGTTTCAGAGACCCTCTTTGCCACTGGCTCCATCTGAGACCCTCCTTCAGGTTTGTAAAAGTTTACTTTCTTTTCCTTCTTTCTTTTTTTAAAGACTTTATTTTTCTAGAGCAGCTTAGGTTTACAACAACAGTGAGACGGAAGTTTTTCCTGTATAACCCCTGTCTCTACATGTGAGTGGCCTCCCTCCCCTGTTATTAACACCACTCCCCAGAGGGGTACATTTGTTATCAAGGATAAACTTACACTGACACATCATAATCCCCTGAAGTCCATTGTTGAGATTACAGTTCACCCCTGGTGGTGTACATTGTACGGGTCTGGACAAATGTCTAACGACCTGTATCCATCATTATAATATCCTACACAGTATTTTTGTTCCCCTAAAAATTCTCTGTGTTCCACCTAACCCTGGCATCACCCCCTTCCCCCAAACCCTGGCAACGACTTTTTATTGTCTTCATAGTTCTGCCTTTTCCAGAATGGCATATATTTGGAGTCATACAGTATGTTTTCTTTTCAGATTGGCTTCTTTCACTTAGGAATATGCATTTAAGGCTCTTCCTTGTCTTTTCAAGGCTTGCCAGCTCATTTCTTTTTAGGGATGAACAATATTCCATTATCTGGATGTAATGCAATTTATTTATCCATTCACCTGCTGAAGGACATCTAGGCTGCTCCCAAGTTTTGACAATTATGAATAAAGCTGCTATAAACATCTGTGTGCAAATTTCTGTGTGTTTTCAACTCCTGTGGACAAACACCAAGGGGCAGAGCTGCTGGACTGCACAGTAAAAGAGTATGCCTGGTTTTGCAGCAAATTGCCAAACTGTCTTCCAAAGTGGATGTGCCATTTTGCACTCCCGCCAGCAACATATGAGAGTGCCTGTTGCCCCACATCCTCCCCAGCACTTGGTGTTGTCTGTTTGAGTTTTTAGCCGTTCTAATTGGTGTACAGTGGCACATCACGGCTGTTTTAAGGTGCATTTTCCTAACAACTTGGGATGTAGAGCATCTTTTCATACGCTTATTTGTCATCTGTGTATCTTCTTTGCTCAGGTGTCTGTTAAGGTCTTTGGCCCATTTTTTTTTTTAGTCAGTTTGTGTGCTTTCTTACTGTTGAGTCCTAAGACTTCTGTGTGTCTTCTGGATAACAGTCCTTCATCAGATGTGTGTTTTGCAAGTATCTTCTCCCAGTCTGTGGCTTGTCCCCTAACTCCCTGGATGCTGTCTTTTGCAGAGCAGAGTTTTTCATTTTAGCGAAGTCCAGGTTGTCAGCTGTGTCTCTGATGGTCATGCCTTTGGTGTTGTGTCTAAAGAGGTTTCACCATATCCAAGGGCATCTCGGTTTTCTCCTCTATTAACTTCTAGGAGTTTTATAGCTTTGGTTTATGACCCACTTCGGGTTAATTTTTGGGAAGGGTGTAAGGTCTATGTCTAGATTCATTTTTTTGTACATGGATGAGCAGTTTCCAGCACCGTCTGTTGAGCAGAGTACCTTTGCTCCATTGTCTGCCTTTGTTCCTTTTTCAAAAAATGGCTTCGCTGTATTTATGTGGGGCTGCTTCTGGGCTCTCTGTTCTGTTCCACTGATCAATTTGTCTGTTCCCTTGCCGATACCACACTGTCTTGATTACTTTGCAGCTTTATAGCAAGGCTGGAAGTTGGGTAGTGTCAACCTTCCAACTTTTTTTCCCCTTCAATACTGTGTTGGTTATTCTGGGTCTTTTGTCTCTTCATATAAACTTCAGAATCATTTTGTTGAGATCCACAAAATAACGTGCTAGGATTTTAATCGGGACTGCATTAAACCTATAGATCCATTTGGGAAGAACTGACATTTTGACAATATTCATTTACTTGTTTTTTTTTATTTTGTGCTTCAGTTTTGTCATTTTTCTCATATGATCTTGAACATATTTTGTTAGACTTATACCTAAGTGTTTCATTCTGGCGGGGTGCTCATGTAAATGGTATTATGTTTTTAACTTCAAATTTTACTTGCTCATTTTCCTATATATAGGAAAGCAACTGACTTTTTTTTAATCTATGCTTTTTCTTCATAGAAGTATAGTCAATTTACAATGCTATGTTAAAGCAATTGGCTTTCATACATTAATCTTATGTCCTGCGATCTGCTGTACTTGCTTATTAATTCCAGGATGGATGCTCTTTCTCAGATAGGGGCCACGGATTGTATAGACCTCAGGGTCCACCAAACCTGGATTGGGTCCTGGCTGAGAAGGAAGCCCCTCCTTAACCTGGGAGACCAGTGGTTGATGCTACGTGTCCAGCCCGGAGCACACCTAGCCCTCACCCCAAGGAGGAAACTGAAGCCCAGAGTGATGGAGTGCCTCCCTCAACATCACACAGCTGGGAAGTGGGCAGAGAAAGGCCTTGAACCCAGGTTGAGGTTCCTCCTTGCTGGAAGAGCAGTGTTCAGGGCCCTGCTTTCCCGTGGGACTTGCGGGAAGGAGAGAGTCTGTTCCCTGAGGGTCCCTGCTGGTTCAAGCACTTCAGGAAGGGACCGACCCCTCAGGGAGAGCCAGGGTCCTAGTCAGGGCCGGAGCAGGAGGGCATTCTAGAATCACAAATGAAAGTTACAGAATTATGTTCAACAACTAAAAATACCATCAAGCAGCCATTTTGTGCCAGGCACGGTTGCTAGGAGACTTCACAAGCATAATTTCATTGAACCCTCACAGCAGGCCTGCGAGGCCAGTTTGATTTTGAGCAGCGTTTGGCAGATGAGAGAACCAAGGCTCAAAGAGATGGTGTGGGTGCCCGAGGACACCCTGTGGGTAAGCAGACCTGGGATTTGAGGCCAGGTGTTCTGAGAGAAGGGAAGAGACTGGAGAGTCAGGAGAGAGATGGTACCGGGCTGCTGCAGGGGTAGGCGAGGGCTGCTGTGTTAGTTTCCTAGGGCTGCTGTAAAAACGGTCGCAAACCTAGTGGCCAGAACAATGCAGATGTAATACCTTACACTTCCGGAGGTCAGAAGCCCAAGTGGGTCTCACTGGGCTGCAATCAAGGCAGTGGCTGAGCTGTGTTCCTTCCGGAAGATTTAGGGGAGAATCCAATCCCTTTCTTTTCCAGTTCGTCAAGGTCACCTGTGTCTCTTCGCTTATGGCCTCTTCCTCCATCTCCAAAGCCAGTAGCATAGCATCTTCTAACCTCTCTCTGACGCTCACTTTCTACCTCCTTCTTCCATATTTTAAGGACCCTTGTAATAACTAGGTCCACCCCAAATAATTCAGGATCACCTCCCCAGCTCAAGATCCTTAACTTCATCACATCTGTAAAATCCCTTTTGCCACATAAGGCAATGTATTCATAAGTTTAGGGGACTGGGACATGGACATCTTTAGAGGGGACACTATTCTGGCTACCACAACTTCCTTGGCCTGCTGTGGGCTCTGCCTCTGTTCTAGAGGTAGGGGTGAAGTCACTGGGCTGGAGTTGAGGGTAGGGATGGGGCTGGACTGGTGAGTGAAGGGAGGCCATGGAAACAGCTGTCCTTTAGGCTGGGCCACGGGCAGAATCAAGGGATGATCTTCGCTGAGAGCCTCTGACCAAGACTTTACGGAAGTATATGTCATCTTTCAAGTCAGGGGTGATTCCTGCTCACTGAACCATGACAGGGGCCACATGGCAGGGCCCAGCCCCTCTCAGGGGTGTCATCCAGCTCTGTGTCACTGGGTGGGACAGAGAAGATCCCAGACAGGGCAGGTGGAGTGGCCTGGTGGTTCATGTCTGGTCATGTTTGAACAGCGTGATCTTTCGACTTAGAAGTTCCATTCACAGGAGTTTTTCCTGCAACAAACTCAATCATCTGTGAAGTTACGTGTACAATCTTAACATCTGCAAGATTATTTGTAAACTGGGAACAACCTGAAGGACCATCAATAAGGGACCGTCTTGGTGGCTTAAGATTTCATACAATGGAATCCTATGCTCTTTACACACCATCATGAAAAAATTTCTCAAACAAAAAGTAAGGTACTTGATATTGCACACTACAGTGAATGCAAAAACAGGCAAAGGGAAAATATAAATACATATAGTACTTACAGGTGCACAAAACATCACTGGAGGAACGTACAGGGAACTGAGAGCACTGGCCACCTCCAGGGAGGCAAAGTGGGTCCCTAAGAGAGAGGGTGGAAGGAAGATTCCATGACTTACTCTTTCACGCTTTTAAAATCTTGATCCATACGAGTGGGTTGTGGATCAATAAATTAAAAATTAAAACGTTATTTTTTAAATCCTATGAAATCACATGCTCACAGACTTACCTGGCAGTCTGAGTTGGAAACAGCTTCAGCCATTTGACCCAAGCTGATGTCCTTTGAGCATAAGCTCCTACCCATGGCCCCCCTTTAGGGGGTGGGATCCTAAGTGCTGGTTCCCCAGTACACTTCGCTAGCTTTCCTCCAGGCCTTTGCACACAACAGTTCCCCTATCTGAAGTACCCTACATCCCCCTCCCTGTACCCCTCCCAATGACAATACCTGTGTTACTCCCCTTCCTGAGCACATAGCTGGACTACATTTCCCAGCAGCTGGACTACATTTCCCAGCAGCCATTGCAGCTAGCTGTGGCCAAGAGACGGAGTTCAGACCCATGAGTGAAGTATGTTGACATATCCAGGCTCGGCCTATTAAAACCTTCCATGCTCAGTCCTGCTCCACTTCCCCATCCACTCTCTGAAGAGAAGAGACTCCAAAGGCCTAGAGGAAGGTCCAGACAGAAGGAACCTGAGACCCTGAATGACTGTGTGGAGCAGAGTCCCACCAACCTTTAGCACACTGTGACAGGAGCAGGAAACAGACTTGTATTAGCTTAAGTCACTAAGATTTGGGGTTATTACAGTAATTGGCCTTGACTAATATTCTAAATAACTCTGATTCATTCTTCAGGCTTAAATGCTACTGTGTCTTCTGGGCTGACCTCTTGTTTACCTTACATGCCTGGAGGTGGGACCGAAAGATGGCTGGATGCAACTGCGGGGTGTGCCTGGGGCTTGGCCCGGATTCAGGCCAGAGACGGGCAGACAGACACCCAAACTGAAAATAATACACTTGGCTGTAATATCTAAGGGCCTACGGCAAAGTTCCTTGAAAAGTTTGATATTTGTAGCAAGAGGGATTTAGGGCTCCCTTGAGTCCAGTGACTGTGGCCGAATCACCAGCCCAGGTTCCTTTCCTAAGAGAGAGGCGACATCCCTTCTGGTACGGTTAGGTTATAAAGGCCACATGTGTTCTGCAAAAATGGTTTTTCTTTGAGGCTTGTCTTACGTTGGTGGCTTATAATGAATCAACCGTTAACTAATTTATTTGTTCACCTGACTTATTGAGCCCTTTCTGCAACAGGCTCTGGGCTGGGTTATAGAAACTAACGCCCAGCCACTACCCTCATGGGACTGACAGCCTCAGTGGAGAACCAGGTACCATTATAACGCAGGGTGCTGAGGGCTACGATGGGAGGACGAGCTTTCTCCATGGGGCTGCAGAACCTGAAGGAAGGGCCCTGAAATTTAGCCAAGGGGTCTGATCTGCAACCTTCAGGGAGAGTAGGAGTTACCCTGGAGAGGAGAAGGGAGGAGGGGACAGCATTTGGAAAGATGGAGAAGTGAAGAAGTGGAGAATGTTGGGTGGACTAAGTTTACCTGAGGTTAAACCTGCAAATATATCAAGGCACAATCAACCCAATAACATCCTACACTCCTCGACGTCCTGCTGTGTGCCAGGCATTGAGTTAACCTTCACAAGAACTCTAGGAAGTAGGTACTAATGTTCTCTCTATCTTATGGCTGCATTAATGCTATGGACTGAATTGTGTCCCCTCTAAATTCATATGTTGAAGCCCTAACCCCCAGTTGGACTGGACTGGGAGATAGGGCTTTGGGGAGGTAATTAAGTTTAAACGAGATCATAGGCTGGGACTCAAATCCAATAGGACTGGTGGCCTCATAAGAAGAGGAAGAGATCATAGCTCTCCACGTGTACACACCAGGAAAAGTGATAAGAGGACATGGTGAGAAGGCGGCCACCTGCCATGTGAGCCAGCAAGAGAGCTCTCACCAGAAGCTGAACCCTGCTGGACATTGATCTTGAAATTTCCAGCCTCCAGAACTGTGAGAATATATATTTGTATTGTTTACACCAGCCAGTCTATGGTATTTGTTACAGCAGCCTGAGCTGACTAATACAATCAGCATCATTTTGATTTTCATTACCATCGTCATCATTGTTGGTTTAGTAGACATTTCTTTTTTGTTCCTTCCAATTTTATTGAGATACAATTGACACACAGCACTGAATTAAGTTAAAGGTGCACAACATAATGATTTGACTTACGTATGTCATGAAATGATCACTTTTACTGAGCTCCAGACCTCAAAGTCCACAAATAACAAATATTGACAAGGATGTGGAGAAAAGGGAACCCTTGTATGCTGTTGGTGGGAATGTAACTTGGTGCAACCACTATAGAAAACAGTATGGAGATTCCTCAAAAAACTATGAATCGAGCTACCATAAGATCCAGCAATCCCATGCTTGGTACCAGGCCAACAGGCTGTGGATCTCCTCAAGTCCGTTTCACCAGCTAGACCCTATATTGAAACCTCGGAGCCTCTCCGAGGGTCTGATTCTTGGCTGAAACCCCAGCTTCTGGGACAGGACCAGGCACAGAATAAGCACACCCATGTTCAATGAATGGACAGATGAGATCGGAAGAGTACATGTTTCCTTCTGTTCCTGAACTCTAAGCCCAGCTTGGGTTTGAGTAAAGCAAAATGTAGTGAAAGAGCAAATTTCTCTCTGTGTTTTTCTTTTATTACTGCCTAATGTTCCCTTTTGTGTAATCATCCATCCATTCATTTGTTCCATGCACTCATTTATTCAATTGATTACACAATTACAAGCACCCATTCTGGGAATTACCAGGAAGAGCAAGTAGAGACTCTGTCTTCCAAGAGCTCACAGCCGAGTCAAGGAGTCAGGGCGTGGTGGAGGGCAGAAAAGATGGGAGAGACAGTTACAGATAGCTCCCATACAATGTGGCAGGATGGTATAAAAAGTATAAGCAAATTACCGTTGGGGTACCAAGGACAAAATAACTAACTGCTTGGGAAGTCAGGGAAGGCTTCACGGAGGAGGTTACACTTAAGCTGGGCCTTGGAGGATCAATAGAAGTTTGCTAAGCAAGTCATGTAGGAGATCAGTGATCTGGGTAGAGGGGCTCGCATGTGCAAAGCACATCAATGTGAAAGGCCTATTTAGGGAGGAACAGGAGGGGACCAGGCTAAAGAAAACACTAGTAGCTGTCACTCACTGTTCAGAGTGATATTCGTCCACGTGTTTGCATCAATTTAATTTTCACAACAAGCTGCAGAAGTACCTTATGGTTGGAGAATTTGAGACTCAGAACAGTGAAATCACTTGCCAAAGGTCACACAAGCTGGTAAGAGGCAGAGCCAGGACTCAGATCAAGTCTGCCTGGCTCTGGGACCCTGGACTCCTCTGTCTCAGGCTGAGATGTTAGGATGGGGACAGTCATGGAACGCTATGGAACCCCAGCGTGTTCCCGAATCTGCAGTGGGGTGGCCTGCAGCCTGGTGGAGTTATTTTCAGTTATTTTCCAGGACCCTTTCCTTTGCACTCAATGTCAGGACTGAAGTCTTGGGCCTTCGTGTGACAGGACCCTCCTTGGCATCCTTCTCTCCATCCATCCAAGTCACACAGACCTTGTCTCAGTTAACCTTGCATTAAGGAAGGCCATGCTGAGAACCGACACGGCCTCATCTCCAAAGATGTCCCTGTGCACAGGGCTGAGTTCTCATCAACAAGAAAATGGCCCCGACAGAGGCGGGAAGCTGGGGGTGCTGGCCGGCATGTTCTCCGAAACCAGGCAGCTGTCTAATTACAGGCCGGCTCTGTAATGAGAGGCAGGCGGTCTGGATAACAAGGAGTGGCCCCGGGGCTGAGGCGGACCAGTGTCCAGGCCTGCAGGAGGCCTTCACGGGGGCCACCAGCTCAGCGTCCAGCTGGCTGCAGACCACACACATGTCGGCCCTACAGAGGATGAAGGGAAGGTGGGAAAGGGAACCATGCTGAACGCTGGCCCTGGGCCAGATGCTAAGCTGGACGTCTACCTCCACATTCTCAGGTGATCCCCCAGCCACCTAGAGAAACAGGTGTAACTGACTCCATTTTACAGAGGAGAAAATGAAGGCTCCCAGAAGCGAAACAAATTGCTCAGACACCTAAGAGTGGTGGACGGAGGATCCAAACTCCAGTCTGGGTGAATCCAAAAGCTGGTTTCCTTCCCAGGAGGAAATGAAGGAAAAGGTGAGTCTACGCTGGATCTGAGAAACTGTGAGGAACCGGGGTCAGGGGAACAACAGAGAAGCAAAAAGTGGACATGAGGTTGGCTGTCAGCCCGTTGGGGAGCCCCCTAGTGCATGTGGGACAGGAGCCCGGGGCACCTGGACGGTAAAACACCTGGTGACATCAGAAGGCTGAGTGGTTTGGTTATAAACTGGGGAGTCGTATTTCTCTTTTTTATTGAGGTCTAGTAGGTTTGCAATGTCGTGTTAACTTCTGGTGTGCAGCATACTGACTCATTTATACACATATATATTCCTTTTCATGTTCTTTTTCATTATAGGCCATTACAAGTTATTGAATATAGTTCCCTGTGCCCTACAGTAGGACCTTGTTTATCTATTTATATATAGTAGTTTGTATCTGCAAATCCCAAACCCCCAATTTATCCTTCCTCACGCTTTTCTTTCTTTGATTTCTTCCCTTGCTTCTCTTTGGAGGCATAAACCCCTAGGAAAGCAAACTTCCCCATAACCCCCTGAACCGGGCTGAGCTCCCCTCTGACCATCCTCAGAAAGCTTCTCCGGCATGTGCCATCCTCCTTGGAAGGTCCAGGTGGCTCTTTAGGAAGAGACCCATGCTTTCCCCTGGGGCCTTGGGGCCTGTTCAGCAGAGATCTCAGTCGTCAGTGGCTTGGTTACATCTGCGTAGGCCGAGCAGCTATGACTAACCTCCAGAGCAAATGCGGCCCCCGTGGTGCACAAAAGCGGCCCCCACAGCCCCTCTCGGCAGCATCACCTGCTCCTGATTCAGCACAG